ACAAGCAGTCAGCATAGAATAACGAAAGTCGCCATATTGGTTTTTCTACGATTGATTTTAGCGATCCTAAGTTTTGATCTAAACTTCACGATTGACTTGGGTAAGATCGGTTAGAGGAACGGTATGCTGATCGTAACGTCACGCTAAGATTTGGGTTTTAGGGGTTTACGATTGGCGTAGGGCTAAGATTGGTTAGTGGAACGGGGCCCAGTCCAACAGGGGGTTGTTAACGCCTGCTTCGAGATGTATAAGCCTGACTATATTGAAGTATCCTGGGATACTGGTAGAACTTTGAGACCTTGCTAGAAACGCACAGTACCGGGAGACAGTGAGACTACTTGCTGGGACTGGAGTGAGTCCGTAGTACAAGCAGAATCTCAGGTAGCACTTCACCATGTCTGAGTAGGTTTTCTTGGTGGTCTCGGCATATGCTGACTGCTTGTATCTGGTGGCCTCCAAGTCGAGCTGCTGAAGGTCTGAGTCCACTGGGCCTGTAAGAAGGCTAACGTTTTTGCAGACATATGATGAGGGTGAAACCCACTAAAAGTTTCACATAACCACTGCATGTTAGATCTAAGATGTAGAAGTGAAAGATTGTCACTAATAGTGTTCTTATTTCCAGGAATGTGTCTCGCTGTTATGCAAAAGCCGAAGGTAGCGGATAGCCAGAATATTCTGTGGATGATATCCACGGCTTTATCATGACGACAAGTGCCCTTATTGATACTGTACACTGTCGAAGTATTGTCAGTGTACACCACCATATGTTTGCCTCGGCATCGCCACGCTAACTTTCCACCTGCTGCTAACTCCTTTATATTTATGTGTTCTGATGCAATGTCGAGTTTATGACGATTCCAAGACACATAAAACCAATCGCATAAGACCAAATGTCCGCCGCCGCAAATTTCGCATGCGTCTGTTGAGAAGGTGTGATAGCGTACAGGTTCACCTTCGATAACATAGGTAATGCCACTGAAAGTATCGCAGAATTCTGACCACTATTATATGTCCGCTTTCGCCGCCGCATTTAACGTCACGCGGTGTTGTTTGTGTTTAATCGAGTTGCATAAGTCGATGAGACGCCGAAGGAATGTACTCCCACCCCTTATAGCCCTGGATGCCCAGAGAGTTTACCGATCAGTTGCTGTGACTGGTGCTTTGACGCCCATTTCATACTGGTAAAAGATGATGTACAAGCTTAGAGTTCTCCAGGTTTACGCTTTGACAATGATAGAATACGTTTAACGCTGTCAATTTCGAATCCAAGAAAGATTAGTTTCTGTGACGGCGGAACAAATTTGCTATAGTTTACAGTAAAGTCGAGACTCTCTAGAAGGTTCTTGAGGCAATCAACAGCAGCTTGGCACTCTGACTCGTTCTGGGATATTATAAGAAAGTCATCGCGGTAGAAGATTACACATCTAAAGCCTATTCTTTGCATCATGCGTGTAACACTACATGAGAGTCTCTGAAAGATTCCGGGGCTCTTCGCCGCTCCAAAATCTAGTTTAGTGTCCATGAGATACGTTATAGGAAAGTCTCCATCATATTGCCATGCTAATCCTAGAGCTGTGTAACAATCTGGGTGTACCGGTACACTTCTGTAGGCATTACTGAAGTCTATCTTGGCAATGAAACCGTTCTCAGGTAAGAGACATACTGCTTTGTCTAGGATGTCATATACAAAATGGTTAGTAGTGGCGTAGTCCTTTACACTCCTGCCGGCAGGACGACTGCAGTCATGGATGATGCGCACATCTCCAGAGTCTGATTTTGGCACGGTACCTAAACTGCTTATGACAGTCGGTATAATTTTGGTAATGATATAATTTCCTTTACCTAACCTCTTCTAATACCTTGTCTTCAATCTTGCGCTTATGCTGTGGATCGGTTGCCGATTTGGAGTTGTTGCTACGTAACTCCTGTAGTTCTGCACCTGTGTCAATTACTCTGAAGCCGTTGCGGATACCTGATAGAAGGAAGTCACGGTAGTGGTCACCCTGTAGTTCCTGTTCACACTTGTTGATAGCCTCTGTACATGGGTTGAACTGTAGTTGCTATTGCCTGTCGTGCCGATGTGGGTTCGAACCGTGGTTCGGTGCTGAGCGGTAGATGTGTTCTGGGTGTGGTCCCTGGCAGCGCATACAAACATGGGAATATTTACACCCGGAAGGTTTTGAAAGTTAATACATATTTCTACACCACACTTGTTGTGCGTCTCTTTGAGTTGGGTTCGCGTACACTTTCGCTTTAATCCATATACTAGAACATAGCATGGTAATCGATCTGGGACCAACTGTTGCCGTTGTCACTCTGGTTACGTCTATGAATGAGGTCAAACAGCATTACTGACTGTGCTGTGTGCTGCTGCAGATAGTCGCCGACAAATGCAGTGTAGTCTAAATATTGTAGTATTTGTTCAGAGTTCAGTTTATTGTCTTTAATACGTTTCCATCGTGCAGGTCTTCCCCCTCCGGCTTAGGTTTAAAAGCTAACTTTTCGCCATTCTCAGTCAGTCTAAATTTCTCTTGAAAGTCATCTATTACTGATTCTGGCCTTGTTATATAGTCTCTTATCGGCAGTGCTTTCTCACCTTGTACCCGTGTCGTTGGTGCAAGTTAGTCCTGATTTGGATGAAGAACGTCCTTCAAACTTGACGAGCCTATCGAGTCGAGTAGTTGGTTGAGTTGCACCTTAGACGCTAGGTCCCTCTTTGTCAAGCTTTCGTTGTTACAGTGTTGCCAAACTCCTTCTTCACCTTTTCGTCTCTCAGTGTTGTGATGACATGCTCCAGTAACGTTCGTTGTGCGAGCGAGCTGTAGACTCAACTGTCAATGTCTGTATTATCAAGCTCTGCTAATTCGGAAGGTTCACATTATATTAATGTAGAAAATGAGCTATCGGTAGAGCCTTTATCTTTAAGCCAGTCTACCAGTGAAGATCCGGGGTAGAATAGGTCTTCAGCAACTCATTCTTGTCATAAAAGGCGACTATGCTTGTCGTAAAAGGCGACTAACGGGATCGGGTGGTCAGGCTCGCTGACTTGGTTGACACATGTCATCGGTTCCCAATTGCGCAGATCGATGCTCATGCTGTTGATCTGGATTGTCTGGTCCAGACTCGATTATATACAGACCGCCACCATATAGCTGGAATATTGCTGAGTGCGGCGTAAAACTAAACTCACTCACTCACTTTAAGCCAGTCTACCCGTGAAGGTCCACGGTCCCGTTCCTCAAAGCGATCGTAGCCCTAAGGTGATCGTAACTCCCATACTTTAACATAGACTTACGACAGTCGTAGCGCTACGATCGCTTTGAAGAACGGGACCCCGGACCTTTACGGGTAGACTGGCTAATAGATAAAGGCTCTAACTGAACGGGGCCCTGGTTTGAATACTGATCTTTAGTAACCCCTGATGGTCGGGAGAGGCGACTAACGGGATCGCATGGTCAGGCTCGCTGACTTGGTTGACACATGTCATCGGTTCCCAATTGCTCAGATCGATGCTCGTGATATTGATCACTGGATGGGATTGTGGACCACAGGTCGCCGTAAGAAAGTAACTCTGAGTTGTATCTTCCGATTTGTCTACGATGTGTCAAGGGGGTCTTTCCGATGTCGAAAACATAGCCGATGCCCTCAGATGATCGTCAAGCTCCCCGTCGGGTATCTCTCAATTTTGCCGATTTTTAGTTTTGCCGTGCACCGTAACTAATCTTTCATAGCAAAAGTGGATATGTGACCGTGGCATTATTTTGTTTGAAAGTATGCCGGGCTTTAGTATTTAGAATTTTACACATATTCAAATTATGGACCATTGGATGGCAATGAAATACTGTTTAGCCCTTGTTCATGCCTTCCCAGCTTGTTTGCAATCACTGACTGACAGACTGAGTTTTGGTTTTACGCCGCTTTTAGCAATATTCCAGCAACATCACGGCGGGGAACACCAGAAATGGGCTTCACACATTGTGCCCATGTGGGGATTCGAACCCGGGTCTTCGGCGTGACGATCCAACGCTTTAACCACTAGGCTACCCCACCGCCCCTATTTGCAATCAGCTTTAAACCATGGTTTCGTCCGTGAGAAATTGAAGTGAACTTTGGAATACAGTTATCATCTGTTTTGTGAAGTTCAACGGAGAAGCGTTTTATGGTGTCAGGAACATCAATAAAAACATCAGCTGGTAGGTTTTCAGTGCAAAGGGTCTCATAGAGAGCCCAGTCAGCTTTAATAAAATTCCATTTTGATGACGGAGGAATATCAGCTGGACAGCCATTGTTGCGTGAATCAATGATAGGGTGTCGATAGATGTATGTTTTCACGCCTGTGGTTTTGGTGTGATAAAACGTCTACATTTTGGCGAATCGATTGAAATTTGAGACTTGTTTGTGACCAATCAGATTCAATTGAAATTACAGGCCTGATTTTTACCAACCAGAATAGATTAAAATTACATACATGATTTTGACCCACCAGAAACGAATGAAATGAGGTATCAGAAGCAAGTGACCTTCAATCGATCTCCTTGAAGAATGGGGAACTGGCTTTCACTTTGTTAGAGTTAATGGGGATATAAAACTCGTTGGAGTGAGGACCAAACTGTCACGAGTTCTATCATTCTTACAATGGTAGGCCCTAATTGTTTGAAAGTGCTCATGATCACTAAGATGAATCCGCACAAAGTAAATGTAAATTCTAATAACTAAGTAAGTACACGAAGAATGTACAAATACCATCAATTAGTACGAGTGATTGCATATTTACATTTACAGACATACGATAACCATCTTTATCGTGGAATATAACAGGTAGTGTAACACGGGGTTATGCTCTGCCATAACACTATCGTCTAGTTTGTTGCAGACAAATAGTGTCAAATAGTATCTTAAGAAATGTCGATTACGAATTACACCGGTAACTCAGTCACAGTAACAGAGACTGTAACTACAGGCGTCTACATACAGTCGATTCAGAATGTCCAGAAAATACAAATACAGAAATATTTATACATATACAGAAATATAAATAGAATAGATATACGTGTAGAAAGTAGACTATGCAAGGCTAGACTATTGAAGTAAAGACCAGTTGATGTCCAGCCATGACAGCAGGATGGCTGTTCCTCGTAAGCTGGCACGGATTTACACTAAACACAATGTGTTGTCAGTTAGTGCGGTAGGCTTGTATTCATTTAAGTAAAACAGCATCTTTGGAATGACGATATGTCTAGGTCACATGACCCTGGAATGTTAAGGCAGCATCTCTGGAATGACGATATGTCTACGTCACATGCACATGGAATGTTAAGGCAGCATCTCTGGAATGACGATATGTCTACGTCACACGCTCCTGTAATGTTAAGGCAGCATCTCTGGAATGACGATATGTCTACGTCACATGACCCTGTAATGTTAAGGCAGGATCTAGGGAATGACGAGTTGTATACATCACAGGCTCCTGGAGTGTTAAGGTAGCATCTCTGGAATGATGATATGTCTACATCACAGGCTCCTGGAGTGTTAAGGTAGCATCTCTGTAATGACCATATGTCCATAACATTGCCAAGTTCTGGACTACTGAGACATTACATGGCTATATATCTCTACCGGGCATATCAAATATATTACTTTTCCATTTTATGGATCATGCTATTCACTCTGTAGAAAAACTGGGCTAAATTGTAATGTAAGTACATGTAGGGGCAGGGGGTTCATATAGGGATATTTAGACAGTGATGACCATTGACAGATTAATTGCTTACCGTAGATTCTTGTAGCACATTGTTTCACTTGCTGTAATTAAGGGACTACTTTTTTCCGGGCTACTGTTCATCGTAGTGCTAGATAGATTGGGTAGGCCACGTGGGTCGTGCTAAATATGTTGGGTAGGCGCTGCTTGGCGGAGACGTCCGTTGTCAGTAGATAAACTCATGTCAAAGGTCGTCCTAGAGCGCTATATAAGTGGCCTGGCTTTCTGGATTCAGTTGTCTGCTAGTAGTAATAATGTCCCGAGGTCGTGTTTCAGGATCATGCCATCCCCATTATACAGCAGGATGGTAGGCGCTATACAGGGGTGTTAAGTTATCTTATTCTTGCGTTAGGGCGGGTTGGGGGAAAACGAAATAGGATTAGGCTGTTCTTCAGGGGTAATCTTCGGTTAAGATGGGTTGGTTTGAGTGGTTTTTAAAAGAGAAGTTTAAGGGATTCATGTACCCGAAGGACTGAACGGGTATGTGAGTTAGAGAATTGTGGCATTTACAAGTTGTTGGGTTTTTTTGTTATTTGTCCACCACCTTCTTGTAATAAACTATTATTATTGCTCAGTTTGTCTCTGTTATTTCCCAATAAGCTTTATGCCCGATTGATGAATTGGTCACTGAGTTTTGAGCAGCGAGCAAGTCAACCCAAATACATATTATTAAATAAAAGTACATAACGCGAAGTCCCAAAAGGTTGATTTAACATCTTGTTCCTACATCACACATTAACGGAACTCAGATGTCATTGGACGTCTGTAGTTGGTCAGAACCAAGCCTATTACAACTCTAATGTACATATATTCTGAAATCCTTCAGCAACAGCAGCAAATCCTCTTGCAAAGGCTTGTTTTATCCTCCTTTGGTAGGATCTGTGAACGTGTAAATGAGAGGAAAACTTGTTCGAGGGTTGTTTGGTGAACTGAATAGTCCTCGACAGAGAACTGCACCTTGGACTGTTCCATCACGGTGAAGATCTGAGCGAGACTGACAGAGTTGTAAGGAACTTGGAAGTGAACATAGCCCTGATGGTCGTCGAACACCTTGGTTGCAGGATAGGTTGATGTGATGAAGTTCACCAGAGGTTCCGTTGAAGCGGGAGCACTTTCTTCTGAAACTCCTGGCTGGGTTTCAACTGTTTTCATCCTGGCTATCAGCGTGTAGCCCTGGCCATATTTGGTCTTCAAATGTTGTGGTGTTCCAAGACAGACAAATCTTCCATTCACCATGATGGCAATTCTTGTACACAGAGCATCACATTCTTCCATGCTGAAAAATTATGAATCCTGTTTATGTGTAGGGTCTGATACACAGCAACTATGTAGCAAGTTTGTTCCAATTATGAGTGAGACAGTCAGTTTAGTTTTATCCGGCTTCTAGCAATATTCCAGCAATATCACGACTGGAGACACCAGAAATGGATATACAACATCTAACCAGGGTCGTCGGCGTGACGAGCGAACGATTTTTTCTCTATATTACCCTATCGTCTCTTTGTTCGATGAAATGTATTTGGAGCATCGCGTTACTAACCTGTGAGACGTGAGAACGAGTGTCCTTCCACGTTCTCGTACTTGAGACAGGACGTTCCAGAGCTGCCTCCTGGCCTTGGGGTCCATCCCCGTGGACGGCTCATCCAGCATGATGAAGGCCGGGTCTCCTATCAGAGCGATGGCGGTGCTCAGCTTACGCTTGTTGCCGCCACTGTAGAAATATTTAAGAATGAGTTATCAAACGAGGTTTCCTAAACAATGAGGAAGCAGCTTTAGGAATCAGAGTAGCACAAAATGTATGGCTTGAGTAAGATCACATTAACTATGGCAAAATATTCAGATAGCTTTGTTTACAATACAAAGTGATGATTCGACACATGTATCATGTGTTTGAACTACGAACAATGATCTCTTTTTCAGAAGTTCAATTCCCTTCACCTGTATTCGGATGTTGGTTTGTCTGAATATTGTCTGAGCATCATGATATCCAGCAGGTTGTTACATGTCCTTTTGATGCAGTTCTCCGGCACTCCCTTGAGTCTGGCGTACATGGTGAGAGTCTCTCGGCCGGTCATCTGGTCAATCAGGGCATCGAACTGGGGACAGTAGCCCATGTTCTCCTGCACCTGTCACAAGCATAGCAATACGAGAATCACATAGTAGCTTCGTATTAGTGTTATGCCTGTTCTGATTACTTGCATATGCTACCTGCTTTTCTAACCTTTATTCGCTAACGATATATACCGCACGATCCATGGAAAACCATGGTCTTGATACATCTGAGCTTTTGCGGTTGGGTAGCCTCATGGTTCAAACGTTCGCTCGTCACGCCGAAGGCCCGGGTTCAATTCCCCACATGGGTACAATGTGTCAAGCCAATTTCTAGTGTCCCCCCGCCGTGATATTGCGGGAATATTGCTAAAAGCATTGTAAACCTAAACTCACTCACTCACTCACTTTGAGACACTAGGGAAAGATTTTATATGAAGTTCACTCATTTTTCCATCTCTTGTTTGTTTGAAAACATTAATAACCAGTTGCTTATTGATTAGTGGTTTCGTTTGACCCACAAAGCACTGTAAACATTCTTACCTTCTGGGTGTGATTCTTGATGTCGAAAGACTGCAAGAAAACATTGCCATGTGTCAGCATCACATCTCCAGTAATCATTTTGAAAGTTGTTGTTTTTCCTGCTCCGTTTTGTCCAAGGAGACCAAAACACTCCTTCTCTGGTATACCCACACTCAGATTATCAACAGCAACGAAGTTCCCGTAGCGTTTGTAAAGATCCTTTAGGACCAGTGCATCTGAGTTCCTGTCTCCCAATGGGAAGCTGATCAATACGTTGCCTTTCATTGAGAACATCTCCATCCTCTGGAACCTGTTGCATGGCGCTGAATGGTGTTGCACCAGGCAGTGGTTTTTCTGTTTCCTGTGGTCTGAAGGCGTACCAGATTCTCTGTGGTATTTGGTACTCAATAATAAGTGTCACAGACATGTATACCACAGCCTGGAACAGCATGAACAGAACATATCTTCCGACTCCGGGAGAGTCCCAGGCCAAGAAATTTTCATTAAATTGATAGCAGGTGTCACCGCACGTTCCTGCAATGAAAACAAATATAGTGTTTGTAATGCATCACACATAATATATTACACAGCTTATTAAACGTCTCTACCCGTGCAGAACCGGGCTAAAATTGATCTTCAGTAACCCATGCATGTCGTAAGAGACGACTAACGGGATCGGGTGGTCAGGTTCGCTGACTTGGTTGACACATGTCATCGTATCCCAGTTGCGTAGATCGATGCTCATGCTTTTAGTCACTGGATTGTCTTGTCCAGACTCGATTATTCACAGACCGCCGCCATATAGCTGGAATATTGTGCGGCGTGAAACTTAACTCACTCACTATTAAAGGTCATTAAAGTTTAATAAGTGTTAATTGCGAAACGTTTTCTAACTTCATAACATGATTACAGAAAATTCTGTTTGTTGTAAAAAGGTAAAACAATTTAGGACATCGCTCTCATGTTCCATCTCAAACACTTCTCATAAACACTTTTATCTTTATTGTATTGTAATCATCTGACTCATCAATCTCATCCTCAGCAATATATATTCTCATGCAGCAGTAACATTTGATTCGCCCACTAAATCAATCATAACAGATATTACATGACTATATTAACCCACCATTGTGTATACAACATGGATCACTTGGCGATGTTACACACAGGGAAGTGTAGTTTTTCTTTGTGCAGGTATCCAGGTACAAATAATTACTGTACATATCCATGTAGGACTTGCCAAAGTTGTAGTGAGGGAATATCAGTAGAAACACCCAGTCAGTGATATTTGCTTCCGCTTTCTTTCCCAATATGACCAGCATGAATGCTGTCAAAAGTGTTGCCAAACCTGTTTGGGAAAATTGAAAAACATTAAAAATGAGATCTAATAATTGAAATATAAAATAGAATAAAGAATAAAACTCACAGATGTATAAAAACTCTGTCTGCAATGTCTGAATAAAAATATCTTCAGCATCATTTTATTCTACATAAAGCCTTGTACTCATGAACTCTGTAGTCGGGATCTCCTAAACATTTCTGGATATTGTTTTTTGTTTATGTAAATGTAATTGTGTTGACGTACCTGTGATGATATTTAAGATGATGATGACAACCATCCCGGTAGGAGGAGACTTGAACATATATTGAAGTGCATACATGAATGGCAGAACTGCCAAACCATACATCAGCAGGACGAGGAACACGATGCCCAATCTCCCATCTTCGGTATATGCTGGAGACTGGAACCCAGCAAACACAACCAGTAGCAAGAAGGATGGAATCAGGTAGTTGATGTAGTCCCAGGCCAGGTTGGACAACCAGAAGACAAACGGTCCAACTCCACTGACAGTCTGAAGATGTTTGGCGCCCACCAGTCTCTCCTTGATGAGGAAGTACACGAAGGATGAACTCAGAAAGGCCATGCCAAACAAGAGACAAAAGGCCACAGAAAAGCCAAGTGTAACTGCAAGTCCCTGTACCTGGTCTGATGATTGCTTAGCATCAAATGGAAGTGGGTTGTTGATCGTGGTAATGGAATGATCCGGAGATGTAAAATATTTAAGGATTGCATTCATCATGAATGACAAAGCTATTGGCTGGCTGTGATAGGGTTGTCCATTAAAACCCAACAGCTTCATTGTTTGATTTGAACTGTGCTCCAATGATCATTTTCTTGTTGTATTGTCCAATACCAAGGTCTCTTTCTCTAGCTAAGAAATAGTTTGTTACATTTTGATACTTCAACAGATCAATTTTCTCGACCTTGTTGATAGTTCCACTGAACTGGTCAGCGTATGCCTTGGCATACTCCTGTGGAAGTGCACCTGTTTGGCCATCAAGATATGGAACAAATGTTCCTTTGAATGGCTTCAAGTCCAGAGTGAGTGGAACGTCATCCTCATTTCCTAGGCTTATCTGGCCGACAACGAGAGCAACAATTGTAAATATGACAGGTAACAGAAGCTGGACAATGGTGATGGTCTTGTTCCTCCATGTGTGAAGAGCCTTCTTCACAAACATTCCCCTGAAGCGAGACAACTCCAACAATATTCCTCTGGTTTTGATGAAACCCTCATTGAATTCTGGAAATAAAACATTCAATGGAATGATTGTATTCAGGGAAGATACTATTTGATGGAATGCTGTGGATGTGCTAAACGCGCTGAATTGTGCATTCTTAAACTGCCTATATTATTCATTTCATATGTATGGTTTACATATGTGTGGTTTTGTTAATGTTTTACTCATTTATAAGTTTCGTTTTCAATCTGAATCATTTCTCAGCATGTAGGCCTCTGTGGGACTTTTCGCCATGTAAGAATCTCAGGGTGATAAATAATGATTTAAATACAAACATATTATTTAATAAGAATATGTGGCAGTAAAAGTAACCAATACATACCTAAAATTCCCGCTAGCGCTGTACCTTGAAGATTGGAGGTGCTGCTGCCCAACAGATCATCAGTGGACCCAACTGAGTCGTTGTCATATGCTAGCTCTTCAACTACTTCCTCTTCACCAGCCCTATGAAAGAGGGAATATCAGTAAAATATTGTATATCCTGGGTATATGTGAATATAGAACGTCAGTGCAAAAGAATACCCGAGTTTTCCAATCTGATGTCGATAGTACGTAGAATATGTTTTGTTCACCTGAATATAATATGTTTAAAGACGTTTAATGTTCCGTTTGAAATGCAATTAGTCACTATTATTGCTGAAGGCATTAAAACTGTTCTGCAGGCGATTTCTCATTTTTGCCCCAGATGTATTCTCATACCAAATGTGACATAACTGTAGTGAGTTGTTTAATTGATCGTGACCAGTGATCATCCTGTCAATGATAGCTTTGACAAGCACGATTATTTCCATGGCACAACAACATGCAATATTGCTGACCGAGGCCCAAAACAATATTCACTCAGTCACTTACTTTAGGAACACCTCTTCCATGGTGGTCGCGGATGTACCAAAACTGGAAATACCCAGTTCCTTTCCCCGACTTTCAATCTCCGTGAAGAGAGCAGCAAAGCTCTCTGACTGGTCATCAGGCAGCAGGTAGGAGAGTTCAGCATTGATCTCACTCTCCATGACTGCTGTAGGGACGTGCTGCTGGACAACTGCCGTCACTGACGCCACCTGACAGTTGGGTTCCTTCACCATCACCAGGTGGTAGCCAGCCCCTGAAACGACGAAATGTCCTATGATGACACGTTAGAAATGGATGATTCTCTACTGCTTTGAGCAAACACAGAAGTGCATAACAAATACGTCAGAGTTTATTTTCAAAAGTAAACAATAATTTGATGTAAAGAGATGTTACCAGCGTAATATTACGTACATTACTAACTCTTTTGCAGATAGGTTAGTTTGCATTGTATGCTAGCTGTTATGAACATATGGAAAATGGTTCCTATATAACTTATATGACGTATCAGTAAGAGCACATGCCATAGAGTTTCTTCAGGAAGTAGGATGTCCCACTGCACTTGACCACCCCTTCTGTCATGATGGCGATGCGGTCCCCGAGAACGTCAGCCTCGTCCATGAAGTGAGTGGTCAGTAACATGGTCCGGCCCTGCTTGTTCCTCTGAAGGATGTCCCATGTCTGTCTTCTGGCTGCAGGATCCATACCGGAAGTTGGCTCATCCAGGATAACGATCTGAACACAGACGAGTGATAAATTAGCACCAGATCAGATCCACGTCGACACACAGGAACACAATCTACGATCATAAATATGATACATGATATGTTATGGAGGCAAATATTAAAGAAAAGCTTTTCATGTGCTTTTGATGACATACCTTCGATCCTCCAATCAGAGCAATGCCAACAGAAAGCTTCCTCTTCTGTCCTCCAGACAGATGCCGAGACTGGCTGTGTTTCTTTAAACTCAGGCCAACTTCATTGATTATTGTGTTAACTTCAGTTTCAACAGCGGTAATTGGACATCCTTTCAACTTTGAAAAATATTTGCAATGAATGACTTTGATTGTTCACCTGGACGTCTTTTTGCGTGATGTTTTGTTTTCTTACATGTCATATATTAATCGTTGTTTAACATACAGCAAATTACCACGACAAATAGGGTATCTTTCAACCATCAACAGATTTTGGACAATACGAGAAAAACATTATCTACTACTATCATTTGGGTTACATATTTATGTTTCTTCACAAACTTCATGAAAAGGAAATATTGAAACTTACAGAGGCAAAGAACTGTAGATGTTCCCGAACGGTCAAACTGTCAAACAGGATGTTGTGTTGAGGACAAAGACCTAGACTCTGCCGTACACTCTGGATGTCGTTGTTGATGTCGTAACCGTTCACAATGGCGGTGCCTCCAGATGCAGGGATGAAACCTTCGAGATAAACACAGTGAGGCATTTTTGTGTCAATGGTGATTGGAGGATGCAAAACGTTGTCCATGTGAATACAAAGAATAATACATTATACGTTGCTGTCAGACTTCCTACATTGCAGACATTTATTGAATCAGCGTTGAAATCACTTATGAACATCATTCTTCATTGTACCTGTAAGAACAGACATGGTTGTAGTTTTCCCAGCACCGTTGTGACCCAGGAGAACAGAGATCTGACCCTCGAACATGTTGAGACTCATCCCATCCACGGCTACTTTCTTCTTAGATCCGGAGCCGAAAACCTTCGCAAGACAAAACGTCAGAGACGGCGATTAGAACATTTATCGCCAATGGATATCAATTATAGTCTCCTAATGTGAGTAGTCAGTAGTGTATGTAAGTTTGTCAGCTATCAAAACAATTACATTGGTTGAAGAATATAAAAAATGTTAATCTTACGATCTTCCAATGTATATTTATGGCTCATAATATGCAAACAGGTCCAGAAAAAAACAACAGTCTGTTGACATTGACCAACATGGTATCTGATGATTAAATGTCCATTATTGTGCGTTTGAAACATGGTATTTGATTATTTATCAATTGGAGAAGTCAAACAGTACGCTAGGTGTTTCTGGAATACTCAGAGTGCACGTTCAACACATTGATATTGATATAAATATCTCAAGACCTATTACACATAAATCTGTAAATCTGTATTAATCAGTTCTGTTGTACCTTTCTCAGATTATTGATGGCTATTCCAGCAGTCATTCCACTTGGTTCCTTCTCAAAGTGTTTCTCATCCCAGTGTCCAAGAGCCGAATAAGCATCTTTTATCTGCTTTGTTCCAAGCCAGTACGATCTCTGATTTAACACATAGTGCTCTCTGTAGTTTGGATATGTTAAACCAAATGACACGATATGGTATAATTACATTAACTGAATGTTCAATTATTATCACACTTATTTGATGCTGCATGCAGATATGTGATAATATAAAAAGATTTCCTGTTTGTTGAGCTGATATTACAGATAATGGCGTTGGTTGTTTAATTGTTTTCGCCTGAAAATTACTTACAATATTGACACCCTTGTCAATATGGCACTTCCCAACTTCTAAAATGCCACTGAAAGAAGATAATGTCTCAGGCTGTATAGTTGCGAAAGCTAACAATGAGCTGCTTTAGTTGAGTTGCCATTACAAACAATTGTGTTGGCTGATAATACAGATAAAAACGTAAGATGACTGATCTGTTTACCCTGACAACGGCAAAGGTTGCTTGAATTGCTTATCCACAGGCTGATTCATGCTGAGTGCAAAGGAGATAAAAGTTAATGTAATGCATCTTGGTTCAATAGCGTATATGTACTTACAGTGAAAGGGAAGTAGAATGGTTTCGGCACACCAAACTCGCCTGGTCGGACATTATCCATATACCACGTGATGAGCAGGTGGATTGCCGTGTCGCCTAGCAACATCAACATGGTGTCCAGCAGGGAGAGGTTGTCATCAATTGTAGCAGGCTCGGCAAAATTTGACCATTGTGCACCAGAACCTACGGACGATGATATCCAAATACATATAATATCGGAAGGTTCAAAACATGAAATGACATGAACGTGAAAGACCCCATTACGTGATTTAGATATTATGTTGATTGTGCTGGCCTGTGTGAGAGATTTAAAGCTCATCACACTGAAATCCCGGAGTGAATTCTCTCACATAGGTACACATGTAAAAACTGGTTCTGGTGTCCCCCGCCGTGATATTGTTGGAATATGGCTAAAAGGGGCGTAAATCAAAACGGCCGCACGCATGGATGAACGCAACATACCAGCTCCTTCGTAAAGTGATATGACATTTGCACCCATCGCCATTCCCACGTTGAACAGGAGACAGGAAGCCAGTTTAGCTGGCCTCGTCATGTGTTGGTATATGATGTTAAGGTAGAAGTACGGGCTGAAGGAGATGAAGAACACGATCCCGCTGATTGCTGCCCCGATGTTTGCTGAAATATATTGAAAGAAAAGACGAATAATTTTATTGCACTACCTGTATTATTCAAAGCGTCAATGCCTCCATGAAGGTAAAACCCTCACGTGACAACCATTCAAGTAAATGTATTTGGTAAGTGTTTTCTTGACTAAATGAATCATGTTCAGGGCAGGTTAATATCTTCATACAAAGATAATAGGCCTGTAAAGATATGGCTTAGAAATGGTTCTTCAGCAACCCTTGCCTGTCGCCAGAGGTCATTATGCTTGTTTTGTTTGTTTGTTTTTAAGTGGTCAGATATGCTGCATGTCATTCTATCCCAATTATGTAGATGGATACGCGTGATGTCAGTCATTCGATTGTGTGGTCAAGACACGATTAATTTCAGACCGCCGGCAAATGCCTGGACTATGCTAAGTTCTGTGTTAAACAATCAAAGAAGCAAGATGTCCAGTGAAAGTTCAAATTTCCACTATATTATAATTGTGTAAAACGACGGAGTTGACACACCTGACATTATAATGAAAGTGTTCTAAGAACGTAAGCAAATAACCAATACGTGAATCATCTTTACCCCTTTGAGTGAAGACGCTGATCATGAAGCAGTATGAGATGAGGGAGACGCCGTAACAGAGGAGGAACACAAAGAACAGGGAGGGATCTGATTTGGCCAGAGCTGCCCCATTTCCACTTGCGTCAATTCCACACAGCAGAGCATACAGTGCCATTACTATTACCACATATATAAAGCTGGTCAGGAACCAAGACGTCCAGTGAGCTGCAGCGCTCAGACCCATCAGCTTCATGGATTCCTGGGGAGACAAACATGATGTACGTATTCAAGTCTGAAGACAAACTAAGACAAACGTGGGAGATCAACATCAATGTGCTATGTACTTCAGGTCCATCCACCAGTTTCCTGGATGATTGATGCAGCATGGACTTGTGAAATCAATTCTTAATATTTGAATAAATAGAGCTTATGGAATCGAGGCCACAGTTCAACACAATTCACCGATTATGGTCCCTTAGATGAGCATTATCAGTTTTTGTATGAATCCTTGATTTGTCCCAATAATGTTTGACCTAGGGACGATTGTCCCCAGCACGCCAACTTGCAACCATTCTTTCTGGATCTTTGTCACAGATACTGCGGTCTTAAACTCACTTTTAGTTTTCTTTCCTTCTCGTAGACAACTCCCTTTGTTGTCTGGATGGCCATCAGGATGAAGCTGAGCATCAGCAACGAGGGAAACATGTACTGCAGCAGCTGAATCATGGCGTCATCGATGTAGGACGGAAATGGCATCCGCATCAGTTGAACATCCAGCTTTTTTATTGCATCAGTTGAGTTTGGGGTGAGGTGTTTGATGACAGCTTCATTTACAAGACGCTGGATAGTCATGAAGTTCGTGTAGTCTGAAATAGGAGCATGTATTTATTTATTTCTTCATGTCGGTTATGTCTGTTGATAACATGAGTGTATTTGACATGATTATAAAAAGAGTAAATAGTTTTTATATTAAAGGATTTGATAGGGCTTCCAAACAATTTCATGGTTTGTTTGTTTGTTGTTTAACGCCGCACTCGAGCTTTGGACCAGAATAATCATGCACGGACGGGGAAATTGAGTTTTCAACAGCATGAACATCGATCTACACAATCGGGATACGATGACAAGGGGAGGTTTCTCTTGTGTGCCAGTCCTCATACACTTCAACTTTGGGGCGTATGGCGTACCGCAGGTGCTTGGGCAAAACCGTCTCTGTCATTGCTATATTCTCAAACTCTACAGCAAAGAAGATGCCTTTAGAGTTGAGGCTGAAGTATTCCAACAGGTTGTTCCTGGCAGAAAACCCTTTGAACGAAACTGCATCTGGAAAGAGCGTTCACGTTATTGTTTATATAATATACTATTCCCTCTTTGCTAAGGATCAAATCAATGATTCAACAGAAAACTATGATGTGGGGTCAAATTGGATTTAAATATCTATATTATAAGCATGCATCCTAGGTTTCAGTTTGTCATTTCATCTTGTAGATCCCCATAACTGCTATTGACAAGTGTTGTGTACTTGTAAATGACTCGTTCCATGCTTTGCAAAATGGTTGATTGGTGCCATGAAAAAACATTTTTATGGTTACTCATGTATCAATTGCATAAGGTTATATTAAAGTGACTGTTTGCCTAAAGAGGTGTTACCATATTATTATTTATCCAGTTTTAAATGGATACGATTTCAAATTATGAATCTACGTTTAAGAAAAGTTGTGATGTTTTGTGATCCTTAGCAAAGTGTGAGTAGTATATATGTTAGCGTCAATAAGGAAACTCCGTCAGTAGCGTTACTGCCTAGCCAATAAGGTACTGCCTAGTCAGTACTGTTACTGACTAAAACGACTAGATCGCTACAGTCCCATCGCAGTCGATTAAAACTTAATGTTAACATAATCATGGATTATTGGCCTATCGATCATCATTAGACACCTACCAATTCTTTATTGTTATTTCTGCAAGTAGATTGAAACCCGATTTTGACCCTCAACTAAACGATCTTGACACAAATGTATGACGATATGTCCGCAAAAAACGAGGGTGTGACCAATTGCATGCGATTGATGGTAGCTTTGCGATCGGCAAACAGGCGTGTGGCGTACACGGAAGTGTCCGGCCTTGTCATAATGTGTTGTACTGTGAAGCATTTCGAGTCGGGGGGTCATCTCAATTTTTTTTCACTCATTACTCATGTATTAAATGTGAATATTAGCAGAACATAACTCCAGATTCAAAGACAGGTGAACAGTTGGTATTTTGTCAAGTCACCATGGCCAGCAATGCAGGCTTCAATGCGGCGGGGCATACTACTGATCAAAGAAGTTAGAAAGTCGTGGTCCATGCTGTCCCAATATCGGACCACCTCTTTTTTCATTTCAGCAATATTTGTCAGATTTTTCTTTTTGACACTTTCCTTCATAAGTCCCCCAAAATCTTCTATTGGATTTAGGTCAGGGCTATAGCTTGGCCAATCTAATAATGTCATATTTTGGGTCCGAAACCAGGCCTGTGAATGCTTTGAACGATGTTTTTGGTCGCTGTCCTACTGGAAAATCCCAAAATTTCCATAGAACACGTGAACAGATGGAAGTAAATGTCCCTCGAGAATATCTGTGTACCGCTCACTGTTCATATTCCCTTCAAATACACAGTGCGGCGTTGCCCCAAACACAGATATGCCACCCCACATGTTAAATTTCGGAGCGTACTTTGGGCGCTGATACAAAGGTTTTTCAGTTTGTTTGGTCCAGAATTTCAGTGTATTAGGAAACAGCCATCTCATCTGAGAGAATCACATTGTCCCAGCTGAAGTTTCTATGCTGTAAGCACCAGTTCAACCTTCACTCCTTTTGTTCAGGTTTCATGATCGGTGATGGAATTCCTCGACTTTTCTGCCAACCCATTGCATGCAGCTCAGTTCTAATTGTCTCCTTACAGACAGCCACAGCACCTCTATCAATCATATCCAGCCTTAAGTTTTCTAAACTCCTTCGTTTGTTTTTAGAAACAAGAATACCAAGCCGCCTCCTGTCACCGACAGTCAATTTTCTGGGCCTACCTGCGCATCCCTGGTGCTCAATGCCATATCCATTTGCAATATTTTTAAAAACACGATAAACAGTGGACAAAGGGATGCCTGTTCTACTTGAAATCACTTAAGCTGATCTGATGTCCTTGTTATAATACTCTAAAATCAACTTCCTCTTCTCTAAATCATCCATACTGAGGATCAATGAAAATGTCGTCTGCTAGTAAGTAAACAAAGGGGGATAACTCTTCACAAACTAATGAAAAAGGATTAACGGAGTTATCTCTCTTGAATGAAACCAAGCACTTGATAGCTGGTCAAAGTTGTTTATACTAGAAATCCAATTAAACATATTCCTAAAATTCTCAATAATCTCTGGTCATACTATAGCTAACATAATTTTGTTGCCTAATGTGAAGTTTTCATAAATAAGAATAATGCCATGAACGACGAGAGATTCAAACAAACACACGTGCGCTTGTTTCCATACCGGCTCTCATGGGTCCAATTGAGTTGAGTGTTATTCTGACGATCTTGCTGGCTTGTTTTGGAGATTTTACGTCAGCTTTCCGACCTTTTTAGGAAATGTAATCATACATCGCTACGAATTTCAAAACTACATATTATTATATAACTAATCCACGTTACTGTTTAAAATGGGGCTTGCATTTCACACCTATGGGGATATTGTAGTCTGCTGTTTCTGGGGTCCTTCATAATTTTTTCAGCGTATTCATTTCAAAATTCCAGGTGTATGGCTTCAAGGTTACACGAATGTTCAGGTTGGGAAATTTACTAAAGTGATTTTTGAGTATCTGTTTGGGGGATTTCATGTAGCTGTTTTTTTAAAAAAATAATTGCATATTACATAAAACGAATCCCATTTGTGATTCTTAAGTGTGAGTGTGTGAGTTAGTTTTACGCTAGTAATATCACGGTGGCGTACACCAGAAATGTGTACATTGTACCCTTGTAGGGAATCGAACCCTGGTCTTCAGCGTGACGATCGGTCGTTTTAACCACTTGGCTGCCCAACCGCCCCGTGATTCTAAACCTTATTCAGAAATACACATTTGGAAATATATGGTGAACTGCTAGTAATAATTACGTTAAAATATATGTTTAACATTTTTTTCTCTTTTTAGTTGTATCAAAGAAGTTTAAATCTTTAAAAGAAATATATGACCCCTTCCCCTCCAAAAACAAAACAAAACAAAAAGAAAACCCAAACAAGCACAGAAAACAGCAATACGGGTTCTTCGGTGATATCAAGATCCATTGGAATCAAACAGGAATAGAGCCATCGTTCATGTTTGAAGTAGTTCTGATGTTCATACACCAATTCTAAATCCTTCCAGAGGGGCACGAGTCGCTATTCGATTTGTCCCGGAATAACACGAGTTCATCACGAATGTTATCATTATCAAATACATCATTGTGTTTGACGTTTTTGCATGGCCTGATGGTTATAAATTCCACCTCCCTTGTTGCAGTAACCGTCTTTTGCTGTTCCTAATGATAATGTTAATGATGCAGTGCCACCCATAGCAACAAAAGTTAATTGCAATCATTTCAGGCAGAGCAATGTAAAGCGGTTGCCGCAGCTGACTTCTTAGCGGACCTCGCGATGAATGTTATGTGCAAAATCCGACAAACCAATCAGAACGTGCGAAATGATTGCGGTACTTTTTGATAAAACTAATCGCGAGTACTTAATCGTTTATCGCATAAAGTAATTGTTTAAAAATGGTGAAAATATTTATCGTCATATTGACAGTACAAAGAACATAGCTAACATAATTTTGTTGCCTAATGTGAAGTTTTCATAATAAGAATAATGCCATGAACGACGAGAGATTCAAACACACACACACACACGTGCGCTTGTTTCCATAACGGCTCTCATGGGTCCAATTGAGTTGTGTTATTCTGACGATCTTGCTGGCTTGTTTTGGAGGTTTTGCGTCAGCTTTCCGACATTTTTAGAAATGTAATCATACATCGCTACGAATTTCAAAACTATACATTATTATATAACTAATCCACGTTACTGTTAAAAATGGGGCTTGCATTTCACACCTCTGGGAATATTTTAGTCTGCTGTGTCTGGGGTCCTTCATAATTTTTCAGCGTATTCATTTCAAAATTCCAGGTGTATGGCTTCAAAGTTACACGAATGTTCAGGTTGAGAAATTTTCTAAAGTGATGTTTGAGTATCTGTTTGGGGATTTCATGTAGCTGGGTTTTTTAAAAAATAATTGCATATTCCATAAAACGAATCCTTTTGTGATTCTTAAGTGTGAGTGTGTGAGTTAGTTTTACGCTAGTAATATCACGGTGGAGTACACCAGAAATTTATACATTGTACCCATGTAGGGAATCGAACCCCGGTCTTCAGCGTGACGATCAGACGTTTTAACCACTTGGCTTACCCACCGCCCCGTGATTCTAAACCTTATTCAGAAATACACATTTGGAAATATATGGTGAACTGCTAGTAATAATTACGTTAAAATATATGTTTAACATTTTTCTCTTTTTAGTTGTATCAAAGAGGTTTAAATCTTTAAAAGAAATATATGACCCCTTCCCTCCAAAACAAACAAAACAAAAAGAAAACCCAAATAAGCAAAGAAAACAGAAATACAATACGGGTTCTTCGGTGATATCAAGATCCATTGGAATCAAACAGGGATAGAGTTATCGTTCATGTTTGAAGTAGTTCTGATGTTCATACGCCAATATTAAATCCTTCCGGAGGGACACGAGTCGCTATTCGATTTGTCCCGGAATAACACGAGTTGGTCACTAATGTTATCATTATCATAAACACATCATTGTGTTGGACGTTTTGCAGGGCCTGATGGTTATAAAGTTGAAAATCAATTCCACCTCCCTTGTTGCAGTAACCGTCTTTTGCTGCTCCCAATGATAAATGATGCGGTGCCACCCATAGCAACAAAAAATGTAATTGCAATCATTTTCAGGCAGAGCAATGTAAAGCGGTTGCCGCAGCTGACTTCTTAGCGGAAGTATACAAAGCTGATTCACTGCCGCACACAGGCTGTGGGTGTCTAAGCCAAGGGAGGTAAGTCATCTACGCCTAGCGGCCGTCTAGCAGTAATGTCAGATAGTTGCATGCATAGACTATTTTGCAGCTTTCACACTTGACCTCGGTGTTAACTATTGTCTGGAATGAGGCCAAGAAAAAAATGTTTCACATCATTGTGTTGGACGTTTTGCACTTGGGCCTGTTGGTTATCAATTTGAAAATCAATTATTTTTTTGCTTGTACTAGCCCATAGTTTTAAATCATTTGCCGCAGATAAATATGGACTTGAGGTGAGGTGAGGTGACGTCGTACTTGTTGTAAATATTTCGCTCATATGACGACGCGCATGCGTGTCTTTGTGCGGCTGCTTCGAACACTAGCCCAGACTTAAGCTGGTTTTAAAATATGCTAGCCCACTGAGATACCATGCTAGCAGTGAAGCATGAATACCCCAATCAGACAAGAATGTTATACTGACTCTGAGCCAACCAGTCCTTCACTGTACCCACTAATGCCGAGCGCCAGGACGTAATATCATAATGTTTCCACAACGAAGGCATAACGTGACAACGGTGACAACGAGAACTTGTTAGCTGGGGGTATGAAGGTAATATTCACACTTCTCCCAAGTGAATGATGATTTCAGGTAGTTATTTTGCTAAGTTTATGATAGTTGCATTTTTGTAATCGCGAAATACTTCATGTGCACTTGAATTATGCCACTCTCATATTCTGTAGTGACGTTTAAAAAGAACAGTTCAATTATATGATTCCATAATGCTTTTTCCAGTGGTAATTCTTTGAGTGCATATGAAATCGGGAAATCGTTACTCAAAATAACAAATGCCAGGGACATATGCAGACAGTACTTACCAACAAAACCTGAGTTGTTGTACACAGTTGCATTGACATCAGCCATTAAACCATTGACGATTGTATTGTTCGGCCAGTACAAAATAGTATTTCCTTCATACAAATCGTAGAAGTTTCGGGTCACGGGCGAAGGAGAGTAGATGGTTGGCGGGTGGTGTTCTACAGGAACTAGAAATCTCATGCTGAAAAATATTCCTCCCAAGAGAAGAGGAAGAAGAATCTCGAAAACGGTCACACAAATCTTCTTTCTCTGTAGACGGGCATTCTTCCATAGAAGCAACCGAAGCTGGCGAAAGAACGCCATTTTGAATCCACCGCGCCGGCGATATGACTGAACAAAAAGACTCACTCGGTATCCAGGCGCTGTACAGTGTCACGGGGAGATTCCTAAAGATAATATACTTGGAATGGTCATGTGAGTAAACATCACGAACTAATTTTGGACACACAACAGACTTCTGGAACAGGTCGATACACGGCTGTGCTGCATTGCGAAACTTAAAAAACCCCGGAAAACGAGTCACGATCGAGTGGACAGGAGGTATCCCAGTCAGAAAAGCCCCTTTTGACAGACAGAAGCTTTGGCCTACCTAGCAAGATAAACAATAACGAAGATACTGAGAGTCATGTCATCGTGTGATAGATGTACGTCGATGTGAAACATAATGCCATGTGACAATCGAGACGAGGAAACAAATACAAAGGGGCATAACTCTACTGTGCATAAATGCACCCCGTATTTGTTGGCACAGGGCCAGATATTAGTGGGTGCATTTTGACAGTGTGGAGTTTTGTCCCTTTGTAATTTTTACTCCTATGGATTGTTTTCTAAAATAGGCTATAATCAGTGTATGAATAAGCCAAAAACCTAGCCAGACATCTGGGCTGGTAATTTCAAAAACTTTCCAGCGCAGAAGAGATTTAACCAGTCCTCCTTAAATGCTAAATAGACAGTGCCAATGGACACGTCATCTGAAAAAAAAAAATTCACCCGTCCATCGGGCTGGCCAGCTGTAAATTAGACCGTCCGGCAGAGTCTAGGCCGTCTCGGGCGGTCGGACGGGCCTTATTTCATACACTGCTATAATAATGTCGTTTTGGAGTGAAAATGTAATATATAGTAGGCCTGATTATAGTTTTATCAGAAAACAAAAGAATAACCACACAGTGGAAAATAACGGGGGAAGGGGATATATTTCACAGGTAACTATTTCAAGTGTTTGTAATAACTTCTACGCGTTTCGTGTACATGTATTACAACAAACAAAATGAATTGATAATTATACTTTTTATTAATTTCGGTGTTGTTTCTTTCGTGTGTTTCTTTTTCAGAATATGTTTCACAGAATATATCCCTTGGTCTCTTTAGATGAGTGAGTGAGTGAGTTTAAGTTTACGCCGCTTTTAGCACTATTCCACTAATATCACGGTGGGGGACACCAGAAATGGGCTCATACATTGTACCCATGTGGGGAATCGAACCCGGGTGTCTCTAGGTGAATTTGGTATTAAAGAAAAGCGCTGTACGTGCGTGCGTGCGTGCGTGCGTGCGTGCATGCATGTGTGTGCAAGCGAGTGGGCGTGCGTGCGTGCGAGTATGAATCTGTCTGTCTGTATGTATGGTTTTGCATGTGTACGTGCGTGCGTGCGCGTGCGTGCGTGCATGCGTGCGTGCGTGCGTGCGTACAATCTAATATGAATAAACATGAAACGTTGAGATGGTTTCACCATTAAAGCCCAACATCGTACATTTGAAATTGTACGGTGTTCTGTTCCATGGAACACTTAGTTTACGCAGTGACATCGTCATGCTGGTAAAAGGAAGTACGGAATGAACTGGTTAATCACAGTTGACACATAATCATCTCCATATACAGAGTCATTTCACTTGCTTTCCAAACGCCTTGTTTTCATTTTTGCATGATAGTGTGTAACCATATGAAGACATTTGCAATGTTCTACCGTTAATTGGGTATCAGTGGTAGAGTGAGTGAGTTTAGTTTTACGCCGCTCTTAGCAATATTCCAGCAATATCACGGCGGGCGACACCAGAAATGGGCTTCATACATTGTACCCATGTGGGGAATCGAACACGGGTCTTCGGCGTGACGAGCGAACGCTTTAACCACTAGGCTATATCAGTGGTAGAAAGGACAATAATCAGTGGTATATATAACACGATAACATAAGTATATAATAATATTCCATACGTAGATATTGCCAAAATATGCAAGGGAGGTTTGTAAATGCATAACGCACATCAATGTGTATATTTCTCTTTAAGATTCGAAGTAGCGTTGTAAGTGTTTTCATTCACTACATCTCATGCATGAGTCACTTGACAGAAAATGCATGTAAAACAATATGTTGACGTCACATTGTTTTATTGACATTTAACATGTCAAGTAAATATTGTTGAATTCTACAGGATTGTAAAGAAACAAAGGAAAACTAAGACCGTTAACGCGTTAGTACACACCTGAAAAACAAGGAAGTTTCCTGCAATACACCAGCAGTAGCGTGCAACTTGTAGGCAGACTACTAAGCAGATCTACGAGCTCGCTTGTTAAGTATATGGAACCTGATTTCCCACACAGGCTACAGTTTGGATTCCTACAAGAGCATGGTGCAAACATAAGTACCTGTATACTCAAAGAAGTGATATCTTTTTTACACGGAGATATGCTCTAATGTATACACTGTGTTTCTCGGCAATGAGGAAACACAACGAACTACTACTAAAATTATTTACCCTAGGTGTGCAAGGAAAATACGTCAGTCGTACCACGAATCAACTGGATGTGTCAGATATGCTGGCGAGACAAGTTGGACGTTCAAAATCAGACAAGGCGTAGGATAAGGGCGTGTCTTATCCGCATGGATGTTTCTTGTGTATATAAATAAACTTATATGTCGGCTCGATCATTTAAGACAAGGTCTTATGCTTGGACGTGATCACTATCCAGTAGTCCTACTCGCGGATGACACGACACTCATAAGCCCAACAAGCAGTGGCCCATGTATGTCCTAAGAAACTGACAGCCATGACAGCTACTATCGATGAAATGAAACTGATGTTCCTTGGAAGGTTATGCCGAAGCAATCACAGATATGCCGAAATGTGCTCAGTATATAACAGCTTAAACACAAATGTGAGTCTGTAACACACGATCTTCTCAATGTAGCCAAGAAATATGAATTATGGAATACAACTGATCAATTTATTAAAACTAACCAGTTTCCATCCAAGGAGGCGTGGAACAAAACTATATGGGCCAAGATAACAAAACATGAAACTGCTCATTGGCACACATGCCTGCGAGATCGCCTTGAACTGAACAGATTCTTTAGAATCCACAGTAAAACTGTTCCACAGAGACTTTGGAATGTGTGTATTCTATACAATATCCCAACCAGACCTGTGTATGCACTTGTAAAGCTAGGAATGCTACCAGTAACACCTAGACAGTGTTTAATGTGTAATGAAGAGTGCAATGATATAGTAAAACACCAACTAGTATATTGTACAGCTTCAGTTGATGCAAGAAACATTCTTTATGAGCATCTGTTCGACACATTAAGCCTGGAACAGTACATGTGTATCGACGACTACAGATGACGAAGTGACAATTGTGACATTACCAGGTGGAGGTGATATACAACCTACTGTAGAGAATGTACAGATGACGAAGTCACAATTGTGACATTACCAGGTGGAGATGGTATACAACCTACTGTAGAGAATATACAGATGACGAGGTCACAATTGTGACATTACCAGGTGGAGGTGGTATACAACCTACTGTAGAGAATATACAGATGACGAAGTCACAATTGTCACATTACCAGGTGGAGATGGTACACAACCTACTGTAGAGAATATACAGATGACGAAGTCACAATTGTGACATTACCAGGTGGAGGTGGTATACAACCTACTGTAGAGAATATACAGATGACGAAGTCACAATTGTCACATTACCAGGTGGAGATGGTACACAACCTACTGTAGAGAATATACAGATGACGAAGTCACAATTGGGACATTACAAGGTGAAGGTGGTATACAACCTACTGTAGAGAATATAAAGATGACGAAGTCACAATTATGACATTACCAGGTGGCGGTGGTATACAACCTACTGTAGAGAATATACAGATGACGAAGTCAGATGACATTACAAGGTGGAGGTGGTATACAACCTACTGTGAGAATATACAGATGACGAAGTCACACCAGACATTACCAGGTGGAGGTGGTATACAACCTACTGTAGAGAATATACAGATGACGAAGTCACAATTGTGACATTACAAGGTGGAGGTGGTATACAACCTACTGTAGAGAATATACAGATGACGAAGTCACAATTGTGACATTACCAAGTGGAGGTGGTATACAACCTACTGTAGAGAATATACAGATGACGAAGTCACAATTATGACATTACCAGGTGGAGGTGGTATACAACCTACTGTAGAGAATATACAGATGACGAAGTCACACATGTGGAGGTGATATACAACCCACTGTGACATTCACAATTAGGGTGGAGGTGATATACAACCTACTGTAGAGAATATACAGATATACAGATGACGACAGGCCCATTGTGACATTACCAGGTGGAGGTGGTATACAACCTACTGTAGAGAATATACAGATGACGAAGTCACAATTGTGACATTACAAGGTGGAGATGGTATACAACCTACTGTAGAGAATATACAGATGACGAAGTCACAATTCTGACATTACCAGGTGGAGGTGGTATACAACCTACTGTAGAGAATATACAGATGACGAAGTCACAATTGTGACATTACAAGGTGGAGATGGTATACAACCTACTGTAGAGAATATACAGATGACGAAGTCACAATTGTGACATTACCAGGTGGAGGTGATATACAACCTACTGTAGAGAATATACAGATGACGAAGTCACAATTGTGACATTACCAGGTGGAGGTGGTATACAACCTACTGTAGAGAATATACAGATGACGAAGTCACAATTGTGACATTACCAGGTGGAGATGGTATACAACCTACTGTAGAGAATATACAGATGACGAAGTCACAATTGTGACATTACCAGGTGGAGGTGGTATACAACCTACTGTAGAGAATATACAGATGACGAAGTCACAATTGTGACATTACCAGGTGGAGGTGATATACTACCTACTGTAGAGAATATACAGATGACGAAGTCACAATTGTGACATTACCAGGTGGAGGTGATATACAACCTACTGTAGAGAATATACAGATGACGAAGTCACAATTGTGACATTGCCAGGTGGAGGTGATATACAACCTACTGTAGAGAATATACAGATGACGTAGTCACAATTCTGACATTACAAGGTGGAGGTGATATACAACCTACTGTAGAGAATATACAGATGACGAAGTCACAATTGTGACATTACCAGGTGGAGATGGTATACAACCTACTGTAGAGAATATACAGATGACGAAGTCACAATTGTGACATTACCAGGTGGAGGTGGTATACAACCTACTGTAGAGAATATACAGATGACGAAGTCACAATTGTGACATTACAAGGTGGAGATGGTATACAACCTACTGTAGAGAATATACAGATGACGAAGTCACACCAGACATTACCAGGTGGAGGTGGTATACAACCTACTGTAGAGAATATACAGATGACGAAGTCACAATTGTGACATTACCAGGTGGAGGTGATATACAACCTACTGTAGAGAATATACAGATGACGAAGTCACAATTGTGACATTACCAGGTGGAGGTGGTATACAACCTACTGTAGAGAATATACAGATGACGAAGTCACAATTGTGACATTACAAGGTGGAGATGGTATACAACCTACTGTAGAGAATATACAGATGACGAAGTCACAATTGTGACATTACCAGGTGGAGGTGATATACAACCTACTGTAGAGAATATAGAGATGACGAAGTCACAAT